CATGAATACCTGTGCTACTACGTGTTTGCCAGGTTACTGGTTTCTGTATGAGCACAGAATATCTACATTTAATCCAGAAATCGGTCTGAGAACAGATATTCTGTTTAGTTCTAGCTTAAAGCAGTGGGAAAGCACCAGCACAGGCCTAGGAATTATTTGCTATTATCAGCAGGCAGTTATCTTCTTAGCTGGTGACCTACATAGTGTTGCATCTGGTCACATCATGTTATGCCTCATTATGGCCCTGATATAAAGTTTATTGAAGTCAATAGAAATATTCCTCTTGGCTTCAATGAGTATTCGATTGGACCCATGTGTGAAACTGAAAGTACAAAAGAATCCATTTCTGTTCTGGACAGAAATCCAGCATGGATAAATCTTTTCTTTATTCTGAGAAAATTAATGCACTGTCTCTGCCATTGAGCCAATGCAGCTGTATATCCTTCACGCTGTGTTTTTCACCCTGAGATGCATTAATCCCACTCTCACAGCCTCCACAAGCACACTGGTCCACTAGCCCCGGGCTTGCCCTCTGCCTGCCTCAGTGGGGCTTTCCTGCAGCTGGTCCAGCCTCACACACCTGGAGGCCTCAGGTCTCCTTGACCTTCCTGGGTCTCGGTCTCCAAGAACATCTCCTGTCTTTGTCAGTGCTTTGACTGGAGAATTGCTTGAGCCAACAGTTCACAAAGCAGATGGCACAGGCTTGGCCAGTCTGGGACAATCTCCCAAAGATGCTATGGAGCTCCTCCATCCTTCTGGCTGGAATCACAGGAAATCACTGGAGGATAGTCACCCCTAGAGTCTCACAGAGGGGTTTGCTGACTGCAGCCAGTGCTTCCAGTTCCTCCAGGTCTGAATGTACAATAGGCACTGGAAAATTTTTCCACTCTGTGTTGCAACTCTGTGCACAGGATGAGTGCCAGTTCTGGGTAAAGTCTGAATTGGCACTGCAGTGACCACGAATAATGGGGTTTGCCTGCGGTAGAGGCCACGCTGAAGTGTGTTGGTCTGACACAGGCATAGGTGCAGAGCCCAATTCCAGGCCAGGCAGGCAAGTAAAAGCCACTCCTTGTGTCAGTTTGGTTTGTTCCAAGGGAGTCTGGGGTGTTGGCAACACCTTCCCTGTGGGCAGTGCAGAGCCAGCACACTGGGGAGCAGCAGGGCCCATCCACATACACACACAGAGCACAGAGAGAATGGAAGCTGCTGTGGAGGCTTTCCTTTCCCAAGGCCTAAGAATCACAAGGTCTGGCCTTACAAGGTTGGAGGTGCTGTCCCTGCGGATGGACAAGACACACAGAGCTGGTACACAGCAGCCATGTACAGAATGGCAGTGCAACACTGGTGTTGCAAAAATACCACTCCATGCATTTCCATGCCCATGCCCAGAAATAACTGAAATCGGTTTTCTGTGAACATTTGCAGTCTGTGCAAAGGAATCATGGGCTGTTTGCAGAAAATGAGCACAAAAGGGCATAAACATGAGAGAAAGGCCTTCATTCTTATGAACTCCCTTAACAGAAGAATTCATTTTTATAGTAGGGCTCTGTCAGGGGGAGGTGGGCCAGAGTGCTTCTCAGTACTGACTTTATGTCATGGTTCCTCCCCACAACACAGAGACGTGAAAGGACTTGATGCTGTTCTCACAGACACCCTCAGCCCTGGCTCCCTCTGCTTCTGGATGGTTTTCATGCCCCACACATGCAGAGAACACATCTGTGCCACAGAGCACACATGTACCCGTGCCCAGCTGCACCACTGGGTGTTAGGCTGCAAAACAAGGCAAGGAACAACTGATGCTTCACTTCTGCCCCTTGAGGCACAGCATCTGACAGTCTGTAATGGCAGGAGCACACGGAGGGATCCCTGCCTCACCCAGCACACACGATCATCACTGTTTCTCTCAAAGGACTGTCTGATGCTTTATTTCCCTGTCACTGTCCAATGGTTGCCTTCTCTCTCAACAGGGTATGAGCCTTTCCCCAAGTACAAGTGTCCCTTTCTCATCAGGCTCTCCATAGATACCACAAATTACAGCAGATGTGAAAGTTAATATCAACATTATTATCAACAGTACAACACAGATTCACAGATTCACAGAATATTCTGAGTTGGAAGGGACCCACAAGTATCACTGACTCCAACTCTTAAGTAAGAAATTGAGCCCACAATCTTGGTGTTATTAGCACCATGTCAAAAGATGATAAATAACACAAGAGCCCCCATTTTATGCAGGTTAACTGATGGAAACATCAAGATGGGAAATTGAAGGAAGTGGATTGGAAGTACTCAAAGCAAAGGGTTACGCACTGCTGAGCAATTACTCCCACACAGCCCATCAGCCCCTCTACCAACATGAAGGGCAATGGACTCAAAAAGGTAAGGACAAATTTTGAGCAGAAAATGCACCAGGAGGACTTTGGGCAGCATCTGGGAGCCAAGGCTGATGAGGCTGCAAACACTGTGCTGTGCAGGAGGGACTTCTTTCCTCCTCACCATTGCCAAGGGCCTGCCCCCAGCATGCAAGTGAGGAGGAGGACTTAGAGAAGAGCTACAAAACAGGGAGGAAAAGGGATCTGCAGTGTCTGCAGAGTAACAATTCCAATTACACACCTGGAGCCCTCTCCAAGTGAATAGTACGGGCACATCAGTAAGTTTTTGTGCCAAAGCAAAACTAGTGATGTTCTGCTGGCTGCTGCTGGATCAAATTTCTAATAAAATGGATAAACAGTGGGTCAGCACCTCATACAAGTCTTCTTCCCACATCCTGTCTCCATGGGAAGGAATATCTTTTCCATATTTTCCTCTACAGAAAGAGCTTAAAGCTCCATACATCCACCACTGAATTAGCTCATAAAACACCACTTTGGGGTCCAGCAGCACTTTGGACAGACAAATGTCACCAGCAGATCTTACTTTACTACAACAATCTAATCCAGGGACAGCTCTGGTTTTCCAAGGCATGTCATTAATATCCACAGTATTTGATTTCTCATTGATCTCTTTGGCCTTACTAATTGATGCAGACAGCTTCTCCACTTTGGATGAGCACCACAGCAGTTTTGCCTGACTCACCAGGGAGGTGAGACAAGACTGTTTGTGTAAGGACAGCATCTTTGTGGACTGCAACAAGTCACACAGATCACGTCTTCATCACATGTATGAAGGGTCATGTTACCCTTCACATACCATCAAAAAGCAGAAGCTGACCCCAAATAGCCATAAGCCCTTAACCATGGACCAGCCTTCCAAAAGCAAAGACCATATTCCAAGAAATACGAAAACAAACAACTAAAAATTTATTTTGTAATTACTTGTAAAAATGCCAGGCAACATGGTTCTGCAAAGTACGTTTTGAACCTCATAATGCCAGATTTCCCAGCATCTTACATGATTTCTCAGAGCATGCAAGGAGTATCCTGTTTATCATATTAATATCAGCATATCTCCTATTTTAATAATCTGGCTGCTTACAGCCATTCTAGTCACAACTTCTTGTGTGGCCCCGGGTGATCGTTTCTCCATCAAGAGCAAATACAAATATCCCTTATTTGATAATTGGGATAACACTTCTGCAATATTCTTATTCAAATATCCCACTTTTCCTACAAAACCAGTCAAAGTTTATCTCTGAATAAATGATCACTCACTGCTGGACTGTCTCCCATGAGCTACAGCTGGCCATGACTAAGAGGCTCGGGACCAGAAAAACAAATCCAAAGCCCCTTCCCATCACTGCTCCCTTTTCACTGCCTGTTTTGGCCTATAAGGTTTTTGCAGGAGCAGATCTAACAAGACACAGCTCGAGGTGACCAGTGCTGAAAAGGCTTGCCAGAGCCCTGGGCGCTGCCCTCTGCAGCATCCCCGGGTCTGGACGGGACAGCCACATCCAGTGGTGCTCGAGGGCCCCTTCCCCTCCCGGAGACACGCGTGGCCCGACTCCCCATCGCCTGCCAGCCTCACATCTCCTTCCGCAGGGACCACAAATCAGGAGAGCACAAAAACGGCAGAGACGGTGCAAAGCAAATGTCTCTGAGTGAAACAGCAAATGACAGATGAGCTTAAAGGCATGAGGAATTCCTACTCTACCGTAGCATTTTCAGCATAAGTCGTTTTTTAAAAAATTTAAAAATATACACATTCCTTAACTGAAGCCACAGTGCTAGTAGGTGACCATGAGAGCATCTCCAATGGCCCTCAAAGGTGTAGATTCCTCCAAGGGGAATCAGTGTTACAAAAGTCCATCCACCTTGGTAAAAAGCATGTCTGATATTACGAACACTGAAGATTAATGGCTGAATACATCATTAAGTAGCAAGCTAGACCAATATCGGTGCTGACAGCAATATATTAATTTCTACCTCCTTCTCAGCAGCTAAATTAAATACTGCCACCTAAGAAGAAGAACTCAGAGAGACATAGCTCATCAGTTTTTTCATGTGCTTTTATACTATGCCTGCAAAAATGGAATTTTTCCAAAATATTGGTGCCAAGTCCTCCTCAAACACACTGCAGATCCATAGGTGAAATTAATTTACCTTCACATACTAATCGGGTGTTTCTCTCAGCAAATGACCAGTTACATGTCTAATAAGCCATTTCTGGATACAAAAATCTGATTTGTGTCCACAATCATGCTCACTGTGAACCAAAATTAGGCACTGGGTTTTGCAAGTCTTCTCCTTGTTACTTGCACTGCCTGCTTTTGATCTGACAAAAAACATCAGAAGCTGTGGTGCTCTTTAAAGATTCGTTTGATGCAACTGGTCCAGATCAGGTGTAATTGCATAGCCAAACACTTGCTGATGTTTGCACAATGAGGGTTTTCCTTCATTTCCTAATAGGTTTTAATGGCTAACACGGACCTGGCTGAAATGAGCTTGACAAGATGTGTCTCCATATTTGTCAACTGAAACTGAAAAGCCTTTGGTCGTGTACATCAAACAGAGCTCTGCCAGTGGAAAGCATATCAGGAAAACATGAAATATTTGCAATAGTACCTGCTCTGGTTTGATGGGCTCAGTTGTTGTGAAAATGTCAGAATAATGTTGTCTCTCAAAGACACGATCCAACACTTCTAGCTGCTGCTGGGTGAAAAGGTCTCCTCGCATCTGTTTCCGAAGAAAATCTCTGCTTGGTAGAGAATGGCCATTCGGTACTGGAGATTCCTGAATACCTTTCAAAGAGGAGAGAGAAGAGGAAAAATGAGTAGTCTCATGATGTGACCTACAGTAGAGTGCCTTATTTTATCCCTTGAAGAGATGTAGGTACCAGTATGGTGAAGTCATGAAGACGTTTTGAGAGGTTACAGTTTGCTGGAAAACACACTGTACAGTCTTGCACTACAGCCAACCCTTTACCTGTCAACAACTTCACACATTATTTAAAGGCAGGATACAGGATAACAATCACATTTTTGCCTGCTTCACTTTTACTGTGCCACCTGGGAAGCTGTCTGGCTCGTGGTCTGTGTGCAAGGGAGCACAGAGGATGAGTAGAAGGCCTGATGATGACAGCCACAGCCAAAGTGGGTCAGCTCCAGCAGAACACTTTGTCCAGTCCCCACCCACACACTCTGTCCTCTCCTGTGCTACCTGCAAGTGCTGCTCATCTCCACCCCGTGCTGCACTCGGCTTGGCATGGATTCCCTGTGGAGCACTGCCAGCAGCACTAGCCCGTCTGCGTTGTAATGAGGTGGGGAGCCCCTGGGCTGAGTTACCACTGCAGCATCCTCAGCAAGGCCCACTCCAAGATGCACTCCTGACCCTCCAATTCACTCTGTATTTCTCCAGCTTACTGGCAGGACTCAAACCTGGGCTTCAAAGCACATTTTCCTCCTTCTCCCCTTTGACAGAGATTTTTAGCAGGAGTCATAAGTGACTGACCATGGCTGAAAAGCCATGAGACAAGTTTGGAAAACGTTTGATTGGCAGTCTGAAAAGACTCTTGCAATACAGGGACTTGTTTCAATTTGATTTTTGCAGATTCACAGTGGTTTCCTACTTTTCCTTCACCTGTCAGTGCTGAAAATATGTATTTTATGCACAGAAAACTGAGATCTGCAGTATTCCCAGGACTCCAGGAGGTGGAACTCCAAGAACAACAGTAAATATCAGATTTCTTCTCCAGATGGCAACATTGAACTAGACAGAGGGAGGAAATGTTTTAAAAATAGCATCTAGCTGCCAGTAGTTCTGAGGAGCAGAATTTAAATGCATCCTTAACAGCAAGATTTCCATGAGTGCTGCAGTTGCTTACAGTCCAAGAAGTCTGCAGAGGAATAACATCACCTAGACCTCCTCTGGCAGATTCTGCATCAAGTTTTTTTGATTGTAAGTATAGAGGATATCTGATAGAGGTGATCTGCACAAAAGCAGCCCATTGCTGTAGACATCAGTTGTGACCACAAGCTCGTGCTGGCCATCAGTAATACAAGGGATGCTTGGAGGACAAGATTTTTTACAAAAGATTTTTTACTATTGATTTAAGATCATCCTTCAGCATAGATGGATTTTACAGAAAATGCTGTCTATCCAGAAAACGAGGCTTCTTTAAGGCAGGGTTCTAAGACTGGGGGACCAGCACAGGGAAATACCTCTTTCAACTGGAGTTGCTAATGCTGAATTTAAACTGAACTCTCCTTGTACTGAACAGACATTTGATGTTAGCAGTTAATGCTGGAAACTCCCTTCTCAATTTGAGCTCAGCAATTTCAGTGACAACAACAGCAAATATACCCTTCTTAGAGAAAGCCATGCACTTTTATCAAGGGTAGATGATGGCTTTTGTGAAGTGGAAGGATCAGTTTATTCCACACAGGAAGGGAAACAAAAACCTGAACCTGTGGTCTGAGTAGGATGTCTAAGTGTGAAAAGGTACAGAGGGATATAAGAAAGCAGTGTATCTTTATATTGTTTGTTTGCCTTTTTTTTCCTTTTTTTTTCTATTCTAAATCAAATAGTACCTAATAGACCCTGTGCTGAGTTTAGTCAACCATGGCTTTTGGAATTAAAATTCTGTTTGGTAGCCATATGGTATCACAGGGCCAGGGAGATCCTGTCTCTTGAGCATGGAAATGATGGCTTTAAACTTCAGGTCAAACTGCTATTCACAATTTGGCATCAAAGTTAAAGCTTTATGCAGATTTGGGATAAAGGGGATGACAAAAGGGAGTGAGATGATACAAGACAGTCATGACCTGAAAATTGTTCTTGGTGATGCCAGAACAGTCTGTGCACTGTTTGTGCATCCAAAGACTGGAAGTATAATGAGATCCCCTCGTGTTTGAAAATGGAGTCCCACCTTTCACCACCAGCACTTTTATTATGGAGAGCAGCTCCAGATTTTTGAGAGTGAGCACCCTGGAGAAGAGGAGGCCACTGAAAGGAAATCCTGGGGCAGCAGCCTGGCCAGAGACAGGCACAGGGACAGTGCTGGGAAGAGTCTCCCACCCCAGATGCCAGCATGGGAAGTCCAGGAATGAAGGCACCATCAGGTGCCCGTGGCATCACATCCCTGCATCTATCCAGCTGCCCTTCATCCAAGGGGCACTGAGGCACTGCCACCAAAGCACAGGAAAGAGGAGGGCATTTCTCTCTGCAAAGGAAGTATGACATCATTGGAGATGGCAGTGGGGCTCTGCAGGGGTCTGGTCTCCAAGCCAGCATTTGGTATGTTGCTGGAAGCACAACACATGCTGCCAGCCAGAACGAGCTGCCAACTCACACCATTTGTACATCCCTGTTTGCCAGCACTCCAGAGGCTGTCCTGAGGACATGAGATGGGATCAGGGCAGTCAGGGGTGAGGAGTAATGCACACAGCATTTGTGCCAGGGAGGGGCCTGGGCAGGGGTCAGGCAGGACTGAGGTGGCTGACTGCACAAAAGGAAGCACCCGAGCTCCCTCACTGTGACTGTCGCCTGCTCTCAGCATCCTGTCAGCAAAGGAAGAGCTGGGACTTTTGCACTCTGGGAATTTGCACCAAATTCAGACTAATTGCCAGTGAGTTCTGGATTCCACTGTAGAACTAAAGGACTTCCTGTAACTGCATATGACACACAGGAGTTCGTGAAGGTCTTCAGGATGTGTTTGGCTGTTTGACATTATATAAATAATACCATTAACATTGCTTAACTAGAATATCTTTGATAATTAAAATACTGGTGGAAGGCTTGAAACAATTTTAATTATAAATATGCTCCAGGGAGTAATAAAAACATTTTTCATATAATCAGTGCATCCACATAGGGTTGCATTCACATGTTTTATTGACAATAGCACTACATGTATGCCTACCTATTCTGCAAAACAGTTAGTTCCCAATTCAATGTCATCTTTCCAGAAATTCGAGTGAAGAGCACAGATATAACACTCTTCTTAGTACAAAAGATTACATTCTTCCTAAACAAACATTTCATCCTTTATCTCTCTAAGACTGTGCATATGGGATAAGATGATGCCATTAGCCCACAATTTCCTGCACTACTTCTGCTGAAATGCTTGGAGATGTAATGCACTGGGACCTGCCACAGCGCTGCAGGCAGAGCCTGCCCGTGCTGCCCCTGCAGCACCAGGGCTCCAGTGCATGCCATGCCTGCTCAGGCAGCCTGCCCACCCTCTGCTTCACGCCCTGCCAGGCACCCCACCCGCTCACAGCACCGACAGTTCCCACCGATGCTCACAGCTGGGAGAGCAATCCCACCTGCAGCCTGCAGCTGGAAGGCTTGTCATGCTGGGGCAATGTCCTCCCTGGTTCCAAACTCACTGACAGGCACTTTCTCAGCAGGGAAAATGCAATCCTTTCCTGCTCTGAAATGCATGGACACCTTCTGTTCACACCTTGCCCAGAAAAACTGACCGGTGGTTTCACAACAAAAGCCAGACGTGCTGCTAAAGAAACTGGCCTGCCTGGGACATAACCCAGGAATTAAACACAAGCAAAGATTTTCTGTGGCTAGCCAAAGTCTGAACAGTCTACAAAAAGTCTGGGAAGAGTTAGCCACAGAAGACATCTGCCTCTGAGAAGAGATACCATCCACAGTCTAGCTGACAAAAGACTGCCCCAGTGATGTGGATATCATCCAGAAAATATGGAATCACTGCATGGTTGGGGTTGGAAAGGACCTTACATACCATCAGGTTCCAGTCAGCTGCCACGGGCAGGGACACCTTCCACAATCCAGGTTGCCTAAAGTCCTGTCTGACCTGTCCTTGGACATTGCAACTAATACATCTTTGTTAATTAAGAGCAAGTTATTTTCTGAGGACCTAAGCAAATAGCAAGATCAGTTTAAGGGGTTTGATAAATTGAGATCTCATTTTTCTAATGCATTTCTGTGGTTAGATACTCATCCATGACATGCTTCCTGAAACAGCAGGAGAATATTTGAAATTGCTAAATATGAGGAAACCAGAATTTTAGTGACTCTCACCAGACAATTCACTTGATTTAAAATATAAGACTACAGACCAAAATAATAGGAACAAAAGACACTATCTTCACAATATACTAAAGCATATTTAAAAGCCTTGAAGCTTAGCATGAAAACAAGGCAAAATTTTATAAGACCAGTAAAATGCACTGAAATATAGAAATGGTTCAGCTCCACCTATTTTTATACTGATAAGGACGTCAGCACAATTACAGATAGGACAAGGGGGAATGGTTTTAAATAAAAAAAAGAGATTTACGTTGGATGTTAGGAAGAAATCCTTCCCTGGCAGGGTGGGCAGCCCTGGCACAGGTGCCCAGAGCAGCTGGGGCTGCCCCTGGATCCCTGGCAGTGCCCAGGGCCAGGCTGGACACTGGGGCTGGGACAGTCTGGGGCAGGGGAAGGTGTCCCTGCCATGGCTGGGGTGGAACAAGGTGGTCTTAAAGGTCTTTTCCAACACAAAGTGCTTTATGATCCTGTGATTCTGTTTAAATACTGTATTATAGTATGGGACAGACCTTGCCCTGGTGCAGGTCCACTTGGGAGTGTCAGCAAGGTGACAGCAGCTGAGAAACAGATGCCAACCACAAATCCAGCTGGACTAATATTTCTAATGCTATTAATAATAAAGGTGTGCCATGAGGTGTGCACCTCCATGGTAGACTCATCTGATGCAGTGCTCTTCTGAAGATAAAAGGAATCTACTGGTTTCTGATTTTCAGATTGTTTGTTTTCTTTTCTTGAG